TCAATTGATTTTTATGCATTGGTTGTGAGTGGCCTTGATTAAGCTTGAGTATGATGTTTTTGGTTGTTTGTATGGTGGTTTTGGAATTATTTTGGATGTTTTTGTGCTTCTTTTTGTGATAGATTGTTAATATTGTTGGTTGTTGTTGGATTTTTGGTTGTTTGTTGCATGTAATAGGTACTTTGTAGTTTGTGGTGGTTTTGGGTGGTCTTGTGAACGGAGGTTTGTTCACTTTGGTGGTAGTGTTGAATTTGGGTGTTTTTTTTGTGATTCATTGTGTTGGTTGAACTTGAAACTATGGATTTGTTGAGGAGAGTTAAGAGTAGCAAGAGAAGTTCAAACCAATCCCCCGGCCAATCCTCTCGTGGCCATCCTTTAAAATCTGAACCCCCTCAAAACCAAACTACTCAAGATAATGCCCCACCTCCACCTTTACACGCTCTCAAATTTCATAACCGGGCTAAACACACCCCTATCTATAATAAAATGAAATCCCGGAAATTTAGATCGTCCCGCAACTATTTTCCCGAGGATATGGAAAAATTGGGTGTTGATGCCGATCTCAACATTTTGCTCCGTAATCTTGGTTTGGATGAGTTTGTAAAGTCATCCCCCCGAACTTATTTGGAACCATGCATTGAATTTTTCTCCACCTTTGAGTTTAATATGACGGGGGATACCGACTATATCATCTCTTTTCAACTTTTCAATTCCAAGCATACCATGAACCTTGCGGAATTCAACAAAGCCCTTGGTTTCAACCCAAATACCGACATCTTTGAGCCCTTGGTTGCCCTTCACAAAACCGAATACAATGAGGTTGCTTGGTGGAGAGCCATATCTAGGAAGAAGTCATTTGACTCTAAGGAATCGCTTGCAAGCGAGATTATTCACCCGACTCTTCGTATTCTCCATCGGATTCTTGGGTATACAGTGTTTAGTAAGCAAGATCTTGGGAAGCTTTCGAGGGAGGAGATCTTGGTGCTTTGGATGGCTACAAGGCCGGATTTGGGGCCAAGGTTGAATTTTGGGTATCTTTTCATGAATTGTTGTAAATTGATCACCAATGGGAAGAAGACGGGTGAGATTCATTGTGGTGGTATGATTACTAGATTGGTGCATTATTTCAAGCAAGAGCGTTTCTTGAGGTCTTGCACTCCGATTAGAAAGAGTGAAGACATGTATTTGGATATGAAGCAACTTAACACCTTGCGCTTCATTTCTAAGACTAAGGGAAACGGTGGTTACTCTTGGCTAGTGCGTAATGTGCACCATTGTTTGCTCCCAAACCCAGCTGCCACCTCAATCACTCGAGAGGCTAGGATTGTTTGGAGGATTCCCGAGGATAATGGGAGGGTTGAGAATGTTATGAAGGAGGATGATGGTGATGAGGACGATGATGATGATGATGGGCATGATGGTGAAGGTGGAGAAGGAGAAGGTGAAGAAGAAGAAGATGAAGAAGAGCAACAACAACAATGGCAATTTCAGCATGAACAACAACAACAACCGCAGCAAAGAGGAAGAAGAAGACAACAACATCGCCAACAAGACAACTAAGGAGATGCATATCTCCGTGAGATGGAGGCTATGCGTGAGCATATGGAGCGCATGCAATTGAGCATGCAAGGTATGTATCTAAACCATCAAACTTTGTCTTTTCAAACTAGCGCCCTATATGACGCTAGTGTGCGTAGGGGAGAGGTCACTCCTTCGGTGAACGACCCTTATGTGCCGCCCCAACAAGGGTTGGTGCCATCTCGGGGTGGTGACAACCTCCCCACGTACCCATATTCGCCCGGGGTTGCGAACCCTGATGAGCCAAGGCGTGACTTCCCACATGAGTCTGGTCATTATGACTACCAGGTCTCGGGGGAAGTGATTATCGGGGTGACCCCGACTATTACTATGTTCACCCCACTCACCCCGAGCTCTGTATGCAACCGGAACCTTTTGACCAATTATCCACATCTCAACTTGACCTTTTTAAGGGTCGCTATGGTTTCCCTCCTGGTTATACCGGAGGTTGGAATGTGGATAATGGTGGTGCCGGCCCTAGTGGCCAATAGTTTCCCCCTCGATTGTTTGATTCCCTTATTGTTTCCTCCCTTTTAGCTTCGCATGTTTTTAAGCATCGCGGTCGATGCCCTTATTTTGTACGGGGGGAATCAAATAGGATGTTTTAGGGTAGGTTTTTGGGGAGGCACCTTGGACTCTTGGGGATGTGTTTGAAAAGGCTTTGATGAATTTATCTTGCTTCGCTCTTGGTAGTCTCGTTGGTATGTTGTTGATCTTGTTGTCTTGGTTTTTTATGATGATGTTTTGTGGTCCCTTGTATTGATGATGATGATGATGGTTTCTCTAGTTCTTTGTACATAGTTTTCGCGTAAGTTTAATTTTGTTTTCTTTTGTTTGGAAGTTACTAACAATTTCATTTTGTATATAGTCCTTTTCTTTTCTTTTTCTCACCTTGCTCATAGCCACTGCTTTGGTCTTCGAAGCTTCTTAGAGGAGGTCGTTCTTGCTCCTTTATTATTGCAGCATAGCTTGGACGCTTGGTGAGGCCTTTCTTGTTTTATCTCCTTACTTTTCTTCCTTTACTTTTCTTGGTTGCTTAGATTAGGATTAGTTTTAGGAGAGTTGAACGGTTCGAGGATGTATGATTATAACACCTAGTGTATTTGGGGTCTTTGGCGATGTGGCCATTTGACCGCTTGTTTGTCGATTGGGAAATACGTGTTACGATTGCATCTTTGTCCTTTTCTTTGTTCTCCTATTTTCCTTTATCTTGATTTTCCATATTTTATTTTCTTTCCTCTTCTTTTCTCTTCTTTTTGTTCTTGGTTTTGTACATAGCTTTTTGAGGCTTTATTTTTCACTCTTTCATTCTTTTTTAACTTAGATTTGTAAACAATGGACTCTTTCTTTTGGATAATAACCTTACTAGGTGGTCATGGTTTGCACGGTTTGAGAATACGTTTGGTTGATTCTAGGATAAAGCATGCTAGGGTAGTTGTCTAGAACTAGGGGGATCTGAAGCCGAATTCTACTTGTTTGTGGCATGTTGGTAGTTGCTCCCTATCTTCGATTTGACAACCTTAGTGAGTTTTTGCTACAACCATGTGAGATTCATACTTTTTCAAGCTTTCAACATTTTCTTACATGAGTGGCGTAGATCCTTGACTTTCGCAAACCTAATCTAGAATCTTAACGTATGATTCCTAAGACCGAGACCGAACCACCTAGGGAGGACAAAGGCATCTTTTCGGGGTGGTACTTTTTCTTTTCTAGGATAGTTTTCATTTTCTTTGGTTTTTGGGTTTACATTTGCCTACTTGCTAGCCCTTTGAGCCTTTTTTCCCTTCTTTTTAAGCCACATCTCTAGATCTTGAGCCTTTTGTTTAATTTTCGTTTCCATTCTTGGTTTTTGTGAAGCAATTGTTCATTATTGTTGGAGTTTGTGGTGGAGGAGTTTGGATATATGGTTCTCTTGAAAGCAAGTTTGTGTTGTGTATATTTTGTGAATAATGGCAAGTGAATAAATGAAAAAAGCCGTCCAAAGTAAAAAAAAAGGCAAGGACAAAGCAAGTGCAAAGTTGTAAAAGCCGTCCAAAGTTAAAAGAGGCAAGGACAAAGTACTAATAAAGAATTATGAAAAAAAAAAAAGGAAAAAATGCAAAAAATATTTTTATGTGAGTTTTCTTCCTTTTTGAGCATTGAGGACAACGCTCCATTTAGTGTATTCCTAAGACATGAGTGGAACACTACTTAGCTCAATGATTAGTGTAACTTTGATGTTATCAAACACCATGCCGCAAAAGGGGGCTATAAAGGCAACATTCGGGTTATACTAAAAGTTGAGTGGGAGTTTTGGTTGCCACAAGATTGAAAAGGTCCTCCTACGTTAGATAGGATGGGTGTCTTGGCCTCTTGAAGAGTAAGGATTGGAAATGCATGGCCGTGCTCAAATGGATTACTAGATAATCATTTGTTTAGCAATTTGAACTCGGATTTCAAGAAACGATTTGTGTACTAGTATGGATGGCATAGAGATGTAATCATACTATCAAATTGGACACTAAGAGACTTAAGGAATTTGAAGATTGCACGCTTATCTCAGACAAGTGGGAGATTGAAGGAAATGTGTCCTCGACTCTCATGCAATTACTAATATAATATGGATCGTATTATGGAGATAATAAGTTCGTTTAGTTGGGTCGTCTTTACGTCTTGCTAGAGACCAATATTGATCATTGGGTTAAACCAATGCCAACTAAATGGATCCTATGAGATCACACGTTACAGTGTTAGGTCGAACATGAATACCGAGTCCAAAAGTTGGGCTTAATGAATGACTGGCCATAAGGAGTAAGATAGGAATAAGTCTTTCCCTAATTTGATAATATGATTATATATAATAAAGGGCTTGGGGAAAAATAGACTGACGTTCATCTCTCATAAAAGAAACAACGTAATATTTTTCCCTTCCTCTCTCTCTACAACCGGTTAGAAACTCTCCATAGAAGAGGAGATTAATCTCTCTCGTCCAACTAGCATTGGTGGAGTTCGATCTACACTTGTGGACTAACATTAGAGGAGCAACAATTGGGGCTCTAATCTCCGCAAGAAGGTAGAATAAAGCTTGGGAATTCACGCATCAAAGGTTAATTCTAAACTATTATGTGATCCTTATTTGTATATGCATGAGATCCTGTTTAGGTGCGTATGAATGAGATTCATGAAATTCTGCTTAGAGTACCTAAAACCCTACAGCATCTAGACCAAAGTATAAGAGCAAGATAAAACATGTCAGTTCACACCTAAAGCTATAACATATGCATAAGAAAACGCACCACACCCCAATTCATTGCCAATGGAAGTTTTGTCCAAAGAACATGAAAAATATAATCATTGAATAAGGTGACACCGTGACAGTAAAAGGCACAAAAAAGAATTAGAAGGGCCTTTTGTGCACACAACGTACTGTTTTTATTACTCACCTACTAAATAATCTTCAACATCCAGACCAAAATCAGGAGAATTCACTGCAAACCAGCAATAAAACAAGTGTTTCAATTAGTATTAGGGGGTCCTATGTATACCAGAAATTTGGCCAACAGTAAGAGAGCATATCATGGTTTTCCAAACAGTTTTGTAAAGACTCCAAACAACCTCCAACTCTCCAAGAAGATCAAAGTCATCAAACTGTAACTATCTCCAAACTGATCAACAACACTCCAATTCCTAAAGCTAGTTAATTTTCATCTCCATATTTATATGCAAGAAAAATGTGCTAATCAACAAAAATTACTATTAAAAGTTAAACGATAAGGGGCCATATTATCCATTGTGACACAGGTGAACAAGACCAAACCTGTAAACAAATATATCACGAATTTTTATATTAAAACCATATTTCCTACTAGCATTTCACCAATACACAGCACATTAATGCTATGCTTTATCCAACTTGGAAAAAACATAATATAGTTGTTCCCAATTTTGTCCATCTTCTAGTCAAATGTATTTAAATTTCCATATAGGAATTACTAATTCAGTAATCCTAACTCAGAACAAATTTCTAAAAACCCCAAGCTATATGAGGTACTCTGTTTGAAGTGAAAATCTTTCCAAAATTCCACAGAAAACCTAGATTGGTGATTAGGGGATTTTGCTCCCACCAATCGGAATGTGCCACGTGGGCCAATTAGGTCCTGCCAAGTGTCCCCCAGTTGGAACTGTCAGGGTTTGCCACGTGGCACACGCTTATTCGTCCACCTTGGACCTATTATGTCATGACACGTGGCATACTCCATGCCTAATGGAGAAACCGGCCACCTAGGCCCAACTTCCTAGGGAAGCCCAATCAGCCCAAGGTTAACCTAAACCTAGATTGGCACGTTTCCCGAGGTTATAAATACCTCCCTTAATCCTCATTAAGGGGGATTACAGGCTGATCACGCTAAAAAAGCAGATTACCTACATTAAACACTCTCACCTAGAGAGACCCAATCACTTTAATTTCCGCATTAATTACTCCTTAAACAAGTACTAACTTGATCGTTGGAGGCGGAGCTCCCACCACAAGGAGTCTCCGCTGTTTTGCAGGTACAGGCGTCCGGTTCCAGTCTCGGAATTGTAACTCTCCCGCAGGACATCAGAAAACCCCGAAACATCTGGCGCCGTCTGTGGGGAGAGTACTTCTGAGATGGCATCCACGTTTGTACCGACTCCTGAAGAGAGGCGTCCCCTGGACGACCCTCTAGTTCAGTATCATGAATTTGAAGTTGAAGCTCACACAGCTTCAGACGGGACCCTAAGGGCCCGACGTACCCGTCATACCGAAAGGAGGGAACGGGAACATCTTCAAAGTGGAAGTGAGCCAGCAGGCGCACCGCCTGTTCGGCAGCAGCCGACTGATGGGTCTGCTCCCATCACAAGGAACGAACTCATGACCTTCATGAGGGACTTCAAGGGAGAAATTCAAGAGTTGATCAACAAGAAGCCGCCTGCTCTGGACAAGGAGCAGTCGGCTAAGAAACCCTCCACTTCACAGAAGAGGAAGCCAGTTCAAGGGCGAGAGGCGACTCCTCATCCTAAATCTAGGAAGCGGGAGCCGACTGCCCTTGACTTCACAAAATACCGTTTTCCTACTCCAGGAAATAGGAAACCTGTTCATCATATTCAGGCGGACGGGTCGAGGAAAACATACACAGACGCTCGGCTACTGCTAGAGCAGAAGAAGAGTGACCGATTGTCAGAGTCGGCCTCTACTTCAAACTTCCAAGACAGTCTGCGAAATACCTCAATAAGGCATACTCAGTCGTATCATGAGGGTCAGTCAGGCGGCACCTCCCGTCAGTCCGGCTTTTATAGCGACCAGGCGGTACCAAACTTACCGTTTGTACCGCAACAACAGTATTTTTTACAGCCACCTCCGTTTGGTGGGCATGCAGCCAAAAATGTCCAACCCATGGACTGGCAGCTACGGTTGCTTAGACTTGGTGAACAGCCGTCGGCCTTCTCCAAGGAAATTACTGAAGCCGCTCAGCCAAAGTGAAAAATGTATTAGTAGGCGCCTATGACGGAAACTAACCCAGAAGACCATCTGATGGCATTCACCAACCTGATGTACCTTCAAGGGTTGGATGATCCCACTTGGTGCAAGTGTTTCCCAGCGACTCTCAAAGGAATCGCACAACAATGGTTCGGCAACCTGCCGACTAGTTGTGTAAATAACTTCAAGACGCTTGCTTACTTATTCACCTCCAACTTCGCCATGAACATCCCTGCGAAGAAGACGACTCTTGATTTAGGAACAATTCAGCAGGGCGAAAAGGAGGGGCTTCGTTCTTACATCAGGCGGTTTAACCTGATGAGAATACAGATTCAAGGTTACCGGATGAAGTAGCCTATACTGACTTTTTTAGAGGTCTCAAAGACGGGTCGACCTTCAAATTTGATTTGGTCCGAAAGAGGGTGGCGACTCTTCAAGAGGCCCTGATTGAAGCGGAAGCCTATATACAGGCGACTGATCTTTGTGGTATGGTAAAACAGTCGGACGGGAAAAGGTCCGACAAAAGAGAAGGACGACAGAAGCAGTCGTCAAACAAAGACGAGAAGAGAAAAGAGGTATGGGCGGCTGATTCCTCTAAACAGCCGGCCCAGAAAAAGAAAAAAGAATTCAAACCATACTCCCCAAAGTATGCGTTTAACAAGGATAGCCAGTTTATCCTAAAGGAAATCAAGGGACGGATCTCAATTGAGAAGCCGGTCCCCATGAAGGGTTCTGCAAACAACCGGAACCAAGAAAAGTTCTGTGCTTATCATGAAGATGTTGGTCATCACACCAATGAATGCATCAGTCTCATGCGGTATCTGGACCGCCTGGCTGAGCAAGGTGATCTTGACACTTATGTCAAGAAATCTACGGGGAACACTTCCTCAAAAAAGCAGTCGACCAAAAAGAATCAACAGGCCGACAGCTCCGATACAGATGATGCAGTCGTCTACACCATTGCAGGCAGCTTCTCAGGAGGCGGCCCCACTATTAGGGGCAACAAAGACAATATCAGGCGGTTAGATGTAAATTCCGTTCACCAAGAACGACCCTCCAAATATTCATTTCCTGAGATTGTCATCACTGAAGAAGATCTAGGAGGGGTAAGAGGGCCGCATGACGACCCTATCGTTATTGAGTGTAAAGTGGCCAACCTGGCCGAATCCTCATAGATACCGGAAGCTCCTCAGATCTCATCAGTAGCAAATGTCTGTCGAAACTAAAATATCAGACTGATTGCATACATCCGGCATCCCACCCTTTAGTAGGGTTTGGAGGAGGAGTCGTCCACCAAGTGGGACGAGTGGATTTACCCATCTGCCTGGGCGAAAAAGGGGAAGGACGACACATGGTAGTCCGGTTCCTGGTAGTAAAAGAACTCTCGGCCTACAACATGATTCTGGGACGACCAACCCTGAATAATTCCAAGGCTGTTATAATCTCATCTCTTATGTTGCTCAAGTTTAAGAGGGATAATGGAACAGTCGGGTCCCTAAGGGGAGATCAGAGGATGGCCCGAGAGTGCTATCTCTCGGATGTCAAGCCCACTGTTATGGCCACTGGGTCGAGTGGTGGAAAAATAGACCTTGACAATGTCAAGGAGAGTGCGCCTGTTCAAAAAGCAGGCGGCAAGAAGAGAAAGGCATCCCAGACAGGGGCCGCACGAAAAGACAGAAAATAGCAATCATTGGCAGAGGAGCGGTCGGATGAATTCCGCCCTCAGCCGGCTGGTGAGCATACGGACCTGATCCTAGACGACTCGCGTCCTGACCGAACAGTCAAAGTTGGGACGACTGCTCTGAGGGTCCTAGGTGACGACTTTCACAAACTATTGAAAGAATACAAGGACATCTTTGCATTCGAAGTCCATGAAATGCCAGGCATTAGTCCTGATCTGGCGGTACATAAACTGGCTGTGGATCCGAAAAAGAAGTCGGTACGGCAGAAGAAGCGGAACCATGGCGAAGAAAGAAGTCAGACAACAGCCGCCGAAGTTAAAAAATTACTTGATACAGGGTTCATTCGGCAATGTTACTTCCCAGACTGGGTTGCAAATGTGGTGCTTGTTAAAAAGCCGAATGGCACCTGGCGAATGTGTGTAGACTACACAGACTTAAACAAGGCGTGCCCCAAAGACAGTTACCCTCTGCCTAAAATTGATAACCTGGTCGACTTAACAGCCGGCCATGCTTTGATGAGCTTTATGGACGCCTACTCTGGTTTCCATCAAATTCCTTTATGGAAGAAAGATCAGGAGAAGACGGTCTTCGTCACTGATCAGGGGTTATACTGTTACACGGTCATGCCGTTTGGTCTTAAGAATGCCCCGGCCACTTTCCAGCGAATGATAAACACTGTGTTCTTTGATCAAATTGGGAGAAATATCGAGGCATATATTGATGATATGATTGTCAAGTCTAAACTTCAGAAAGATCATCTGCCGGACCTCCGAGAAACTTTCGCCACACTCAGGCGGCACCATGTCATGCTCAATCCCAAGAAATGTGTCTTTGGAGTTGAGTTTGGGAAATTTCTCGGATTCCTTATCAATCAGAGAGGAATAGAGGCGAACCCTGAGAAGGTGCAGGCGGTCATTGACATGCAGTCGCCTCGTACCATCCGAGAGGTTCAGAAGTTAACCAGTTGTCTGACGGCCTTGGGAAGATTTCTAAGCCGATCAGGCGACAAATGCCTATACTTTTTCCAGGCAATTAAGAAAAAGGCAAGGTTTGAATGGGGGCCTGATGCTGAGGCGGCCTTCCAGAAATTAAAAGTTCACTTGCATTCCTTGCCAAGGCTGGTCAGTCCTTTGCCCAAAGAAGTACTCTACATGTACCTGGCCGTCTCTGATCATGCGTTAAGCGCTGTTCTCCTTGCTGAAAGAGACGGATGTCAGCTCCCGGTCTACTTTGTCAGTCATGTACTGAAAAATGCCGAGTTGAGGTATCCCTTAGTGGAGAAATTTGGTCTTGCACTCTTCATGGC